AGAAGCGTACAATGCACTCACTCCTTTTCTCAAGATTTCATTCTGCTCCATTGGAGGCCTCATGATTCATCCACCTGGGAACTGCATTATTACCTCCACTATGATCCTACCTTTATCCCTCAAGTACATTTTGAAAATGTTGTAGAACAAATGGTACCCCATTGCAAAAATGTCAGGGAGTTTACTTAAACACACAATATCATAATAGCTGTAGTTCTCTACTGCTTTTCTATCTCACAAATATTTGATCATGAGGAACATTATTGCTGGGGAAGTAGGGTACATATAGACTTTTACCAGCGGTTTAAAAAAATGCTTTAACTCAACTGGCTATAGAAAAAATTGAGAACATACCAGATAAAGAAAGTGATGTTGAAATTAACCCACACAGCAGATTTATGGCAATTTTTAAAATTACTAGCTTGAAGTTTTGTTTCTACAGTTTTCTTTTTTTCAGTATTGTCTGTACAGGGTGATCTCCCTTCCCTTCTCAGATTTTTGTCAATGTGGGAATTCCAAGCTTCGCGGGGAGGTGGAGGAGAGAATTTCAGAGCTGTATTGATTCTACACCTTCCCATTTCCAGTGTCCCACTCTCCTTCCTTGCAAGCTTTTAACCTCTGCTTTCACTCCTACTCTCATTGTTACCTCTGTATCCCCTACCCATCTCTGTATCTCCTTTGGTCCCCTTTTACTCCCGTTTCTTCCCAAGAACAGGGCTCGTACCCACCTCTACCCTCTTCATCTCTGTATTCTCCTTTTGTACTTCACTCTAGTAATGGGTGTGTGTGTGTGTGTCTGTATGAGTGTGTGTTTGTGGGTCCTGCAATCCCCAGTGTCTGCTCCTTCTGCATTCCACCTGGTAGCACCTGCTACATACACAGCCTGGCTCTGTCCTCTCCCTCCTCTAGCAATTTCTATTTTTTAGTCAGACAAAGTGCTAGAGTGCCAGGCTTATTTGTGGACAGCAGGAAAGGAGGAGTGCAGGCACCAGGCCTTGCAGCGAAAAGGTCCAAGTGCTGTGAACAGTGGAGGTGGAGAGGGATGGTTACTACACTGCCTTCTATGAAGAGTTGAGCAGAGAAGGTGCAAGGGGCTTCTTTCTCCTCCCTCACTAGGAGGAGAACCCCTCAAAGATGATTCTGTTGATGAGTACAAAGGGTTCGTCTGGGCCCTCCTTACTGGGCTGTCTAGGAGGCTGACTCTGGTAAATGCCCAGTCGCCCAGCAGCCCAGGCCAGGCCTCCTGCTTTCTTAGAGAGGCATATTGTGCTAAGGACTATTTCCTTTTAGTGACATAAAATAATAAAAGTCAGTACTTCTATAACAATTTTCACCTACAGATCTCAGAGTGTTTCATAAAGGAAGCTGTCCCCAATTTACAGATGCGGAAAGTGCTGCTCAGGAAAGGGCTCTGGAGAAAACATAAAACAGACATTGGGCTATATGAGCTTTCCCAAATATTCCTCGTTGCACTGGAGAGAGGGTAACTCGCAATGCAAACCTTTTCCCGGGTCCCCCGCTGACTTGCCTGCTCCTTCCACTGTCCCACCCAGTCCCCTCCCTTTTCCTCAGCATAAACCTCAGTCCCATGAAGAAGCTGCCACATTGTCTGTATTCAAAAAAAGGGTTGGTGTCTTGGAGGCTGAGCCCTCCTTTCATGCTCGGTGATAGCAAGGCAAAAATGCACAAGAGTCTCAGAGGATTATTCTGCGTCCATATATTTTACATTTTCTTGGGCTAAAAAAAAGATTTGTCATAACCTAACCACAACAGTAACAAAAAGAAAATGCAATTATTTGTAACCAGGAAACTTTCCTGTCAATTCCACATGTAAAATATTCATGCAGTGGAAACAGTTAATGTAGCTCAGGACTTCAGTCAGCTCCTTGAAATTGTCCTCACCACCTTCGTTTTCCCCTATCAGTCAATGCCAAAACTCTGAATGCCCTAAAGATATTGTTTAAAATAGTATCACCAAAAAATGTACCTGTTAATGGGAGCTTATCCAATGTTAATTGTAGATACTTTTATAAAAGCATTAATCCAATCCCAACTCAAATCTATAATCAATCAGCTTCCTTATAGGAATTATCATTCAGTCACCACGCCCACGAATTTACTTCAAATGATTTGGATATTGAAGGTTTGAGACACTTTGAAATTAAGTTTCATTACTTTGTTTTGAAAAGCTGCTAACTGCCCAGAGCATCATTATAGTTGTAGAAGTCATTGCATTAACAGCAAATCTACAGGAGAAGGAACTCTTGTGGGATTTCAGTTGTGCGTAGTGTCTTCACCACTAATTCAAGAGAAAATCTATCAATATCTGAATTAATGACGACCATCAGTCTTGAAGACCATTACATACAAAATGGAATCAGTTTCAGTCTGTTTCTTTACAAATTTGCTCTTAGTGTTTGAAGGAACAAAACAAGAAGGTGACATAAACTAAATTATTGAAATCACATGCTGAAAGAGTAATTATGATGTGAAAAACATTTCTCTCTTTGCAGAATAGTAGATATTAAAAGGCAGTATTTTAAGTAAGCCTCATTCTAGAGATGATGACCCCTAGATAGACCAGATACTATAATGTTATCATTTTGTGGCATGTATGATTGCACTGTATTTTATCTAATGTAGCAATTCTGCCTACCCAGATTTTGATGTCTCTCTTTAAACCATTATTGAAACTAGAAGGACAAACTGAAATATGGATGAATTATCAATAAGTGTGAACTCCACCCACGCTTACGTCATTTCATGTTTGACTTGACTTGGAAAAAAGGATTTCTATTTTTTTTAAGCTAGAACTAAGAAAAATGAAAGACTTTTATTAAGTGCTCCAAATAAAAACAAGAAAGATACAATGCCACAGTCTAGAATATTGTTTAATTTCATATGAATGTGCTAATTCTGAAAAGCTTGATTTGATGTTAACCTATTAACTGCCTGCTTTGGACCATGCAATTTCAAATATTTTTTTAAATACTCTAAAACCCAGAAACACTAAATTTTGATAAGTAAAAGGTATCTGGGGCCAGTGACAAATGTTGAAAACATTTTAGATGAAATCTCTTGAGTTGGTGCAGCTATTAACATTTTCCCAAAACAAATCAACAATTACATTCCCAAACTCCTTAAAAGATTGAACAGTCTCTTTTAGAGATCTTTAAATGATCTGGGGGTTGTTGAGAACCCAAGAAGCATGACTTAAACCCCCCATCTTCTATCAATCATAGAAACCAGAGCATTTTTTATACGGTGATTGTCTGGAACACTTAGAAAATAATGTAATTCTTTCAATGTAGTTTAGGTAGTTTTCTTGAAACCAAATACTAGCATGCTTAAACTTTTCAGATATTTCATTTTGAATGAAAGTGGCTTTCTATAATTGAAATTATTGGGCTAAAATTGGGCTTTAACCTTGAAGAGAGTTGTTTTGTTGTATAAAAAAGGCACTTTAACCTTTAGAAAAAAAATCAAAATACTTACTGATAAGGAATGGTGTACCTTTGTTTAAAGCCAATCTCACTTCTTGACTCAGCTTAGTTGGTGAGAGACTTTTTTAATTATTTTAACTGAATTGCTAGACTTTAGCCCCTTTAGCATTTTACTAATAAATGATTTCAGAGGCTTCCTGTGTTCCCTGCAAAACAACCATCTTCTTGACTGAGGTGTAATTTGAATTACTTGAATTGGGGAATAGTTATTCATACAGTAATGGATTTTTCTGAATCTTTTTTGGTAAAGTCTAACAAAATTCAAAACAGAATGACATGTCATGCTTGGTCTTCTGTATTAAACAGATATCAGCCTTATCATTTTGGTTTATGGACAGTGAAGTAGATCTGCATCTGGATCCAAAATAATTTTTGACAAAACTAATGTTTCACACATACATCATAGGTGTGTGTGTGTGTGTGTGTGTGTGTGTGTGTGTGAGAGAGAGAGAGAGAGAGAGAGAGAGAGAGAGAGAGAGAGAGAACTGAAAGAACCTACCCTTTGTTACCTTCAGCCATGTAGAGGCCCAAATCTACAAAACCTTATTAACATAAATAATCCTACACATTTCACTGGGATTAGTCATATGAGAAAGGGTTTGAAGGATAAGGCATTTAACAACAATAACCTAAAACAAGTTTCTTCTACTAAGATTGCTCTTTTAAAAAATAGGTTCAAGCCTAATCAAATATGTGTCAAAACACCCTAACTTTGATATGCCAATTTATGGTTGTAATTACTTATACTAAACTTCTTGATGAAAATTATGTAATGTATCTAATAACTTTGCTATAATAGAGCACATGCAAACAAAGCCTTAAAAAAGGAAATTGACATTTGTATAATTAAGTATTGATGTTACAGGACAGTGACTTCAGTAAAGTCCACTAAAATTCTCTATATATTTAAAATAATATGTTAAATATTCTTAAATTGATTGTTGAATTTGGAGAATGAGGGGTGGGTGGATGGTCAGAAAACATGTATGTTTCTGTAATTACATGTGTGTGCTTATGCATGTGGAATAAAGTGTCTTGGCTGAATTTTCAACCTTAAGATCACTGTCTGAAGTATATAGATTTCATAGTCATCATGAGTAGACATCTCTGTGGCCACACTGTCACTACAGTCTGAAGGTAAAATCTTGGCTTTACTGAAGAAAATAAGAGTCACTGACTTCAATGGGGCCAAGATGTCACCCCAGTTCTTCAGATTTCCAATAAAAAAAAATACTTCAACTGATTATAGCAATTACTTCATTTCAATGCCCCTATAGTTTTGGTGCTGAAAATTCTGCTACCAAACCATGCCGTAGATTCATCATCTTGTCATATCAGACGAAAATAAAAAATCAGGTCACTTAATATAAATTTTCAACTGTCTACCAAAAGCTCACATTCCCTGGTGTGTAATTTGTCACAAGAAGATGATCAATACAATTTATTATCAACAGCAGTTCATTACAATGACAGACAAATGAGCAATTCGTACAGTACCTAATGCTGCTCATGCTTCCAGTCTCTGATCCAAGCTTACATCTCTCCAGTTGGCTGGCTACAATCTGGCGTTCAGCCTCAAGTTCTCGAGTCAGTCTCTCAAACTGCAGCTCCTGAAACAAAACAAACATTCACTCAATGATCTTTGCAAGAATCAGAAAGAATTTCAGTGCATGTGTCAAATTATAGCATTTGAAATAAGTGTTACTATGACACTTCTATGAAAAGCTTTCCCCCTCTCTTTTTAACACATTCACAGTCCAAATGTATATGATAACACCTGCTGGTTCACTCATAATTCTGATCATGTGCATTATAAATGGAGTTAGTTTATTTAGGATGAAATTTTCAAATGAGCCTAAGTGACAGACTCATGTCAAAATTCCCTCCTTAGTGCATATGTTTTTCTTAATGGTGGTGTAATAGGTTTTCACTAAGCTGACACAAGGATGCTAAAACAAAAGGAGCAATTTTTTACATTTATTAAGACAGCTAAGGGATCTGTAGAGCGTAATACATGGTGATGAAATCTTTTGTACTCAGCTAAATATTCATCAAGCAACATAATGTAGTATAGACTGGAAAAATAAACTATAAGATAGATGTAAGTATGTTTTTATTGGCCACATATACTTTAATTTCAGCATCTTGGTGTTGTGTTGGAAGTCAATTCTTGTGATTTCAGAGCAGCCCCTTATTAAAATCCTGCCAGTAACTGATGGTAGGGTTGGGGTAATTTCCCTGATTCTCTGGATATTACCAAACTAGAGATATTACCAAACTGACTTAGCCATAGAGTTCATAAGATATTTCTGATTTTTTTTAAAATGCAGCAGATTGCATCAAATGTAAGTTCCCCCCCCCCCCACACACAGACATCCAGCTCCCGCAGAGCACCCCAATAAAAAAACACATTACAAGGTGACAGATTTCAGAGTAACAGCCGTGTTAGTCTGTATTCGCAAAAAGAAAAGGAGTACTTGTGGCACCTAAGAGACTAACCAATTTATTTCAGCATGAGCTTTCGTGAGCTACAGCTCACTTTATCGGATGCATACCGTGGACAAGTTTTTTCATGCAGTTGATAGATTTCCACTCCATACGGCTAAATGCAGTGCCTTGCATAATGACAGGTTTCAGAGTAACAGCCGTGTTAGTCTGTATTCACAAAAAGAAAAGGAGTACTTGTGGCACCTTAGAGACTAACCAATTTATTTGAGCATGAGCTTTCGTGAGACAGTGGGGTGGGAGGAGGTATTGTTTCATGATCTCTGTGTGTATATAATGTCTGCTGCAGTTTCCACGGTATGCATCCGATGAAGTGAGCTGTAGCTCACGAAAGCTCATGCTCAAATAAATTGGTTAGTCTCTAAGGTGCCACGAGTACTCCTTTTCTTATTACAAGGTGAGTATACAATAAACACCCACTACAAGATTTTCAGTTCTCCATGGGCTGTCCGAACATGTAGAGTACTCAGTATATTTTTCAAGAACAAAGACTATTTCAGCAAAGTGCACTTACGATAAGTTTGTCAAGTTATGCTGCCTTTTGTCCTTGATTATGGTTATGAGAAAGCTAGTGTAGGTGGCTGGCCCTTTAATGGGAGGTAGGCCCAGCCTCACCTGTGACAGATCAACTCCTTCCCAGCTGAGACTGATCATCCGAGGTTCAGGCGATTATAAAAGCCAGCAAGTGGCTCAGTGGAGTACAGAGTTGCCAGAAAAGCACTGGATTGTGGGGGAAGAAGAGAGACACAGGCTGAGGCAGAAAATGTTGTGGGAATCCCTTGTTAAAATACTGGCAACACATCACTGGTGAATCTGTGTGTTCTCATGTACTCTCTCTCACTCACACACACAAAAGCAGAAACAAACAAATGCAACACTATCACACAACAAGTAATTTGTGTGATGACTATTCAGTCGCTTGCACTGCATTTACCACTGTAGTATCCCACCACATTACACTTAATATACAAAACAAAACAATAACATGTTTGAGCCACCCTTCTGGCTGACTCAATAAAAACACTGCACCATTATGCACACAGAGGTCCCCCTCTCTCTGTCTTTCATAATGGTAACTAATTGATAAACCGACTAATTAAAAGCCTGGTTAAACAGAATAACTTTTTAATCAAACCCTGAAGATTGCCATGTTCTGTTATAGCAATCAGTTACACTGATTTCTAAAATGGAAGAGCCCTAACCCAATGCTTAGTATAGATCTAGACTCCTATTCTGGGAAAATATGAACTTTTAGCACTGAAAATAAGAGTCCCTAAATTCAATCGTGAGCTTCCCCAATCAACAGGATCTAGCTGTATAGATCACTGAACTCCTGTGGGGAAAGATCCCCTCCCCTGCATTGCTGTCCAGTAACCCCCTTTGGCTGGTTAATGGAGTGGTGTATAATGAACTACAGACACTTGCCTCCAGTCTTTATAAAAAAACCAAAAAGTGCAGAACTGAGCATTTGAAAGTGAGAAGGAAATGACAGAAGATTCAGGAAGTTTCATCCTTCCTTCACGTTGCCTAGCCCCCAACCCCAGGAACCAAAAGCAATCTGAGTGAGATTACATTTCTCTAATCTCAGATATGGTTCACTTCCGTTTCCAAGGTGATGAAATGATGAGGCTAGTTCTTATTTTATCCAATTCAGTCTGGTCACCTGCCCTTATATTTCGTAATATTGGCACAGAATAATGTAAGCCCTGCATATAAAATGAGGCAGGATCTCAGCACAAGGTGAGAGTGGCAGGATGCATACCAAGTGTCCTTCAGATAGTCACTGACATTTGACGGAGGCCATTTTAAGTATTTGGCACTCAATTATTATTCCACTTAAGATTTGCCTGAATATGAATACCACCAAAATAGCCAGATTATGTAAGGAGTGAAACCAAACTGATCATCTGTTGCATCACTACCCATATAATATGTGTTTAAATTCCATAAGTAATTGTGTATGAACACCATAACAATGACCAATGACAACAAAAGTTACTTTGGTTCTACTACTTAGGTGCCATGCTTCACCCCAGAGGTTGCTGCATCTTAGTGACAGATGAAGTATTCTTAGAGTAGTATATGCAATTTTTAAAACATCTTCGGTCTTTAGTAGAGTTATGCTAGGGGTGAATTACAATACTTATTAGACAGTCTAAAAATTGAAATTAACTTCATGCTTATAGAATTCCCACTAAAGTCAATGAGATATGCATGTGCATATCTGAGGACAGAATTTAGTCCCATGTTACTGGGCTGTTTATTTTAAACGTGGAGGGGTTATTGTGTTTGTGTGTATTTAGATTTTTCTCTGACTTTATTAAGATTTTTATAGTTGCTTACTTTATATACAATATTTATTTATTTGCTTACCTAGTAGAATAAATTATCCAAGAAGCTGAAAAGATTGTTGATCAACTTTGCAAGACCTATGTCACAAGACCTGAGCAATATATTATTCTTACTGCAGAGTTAGATTTAATACATATTTTATTTAAATGTTTGGGAAAATAAAATCACAATAACATAACACAGAACTTTTTTCTACTTCCTACTGCGCTTGCATAGTGGGTGAGAGCACTTAAATAATGAGATACTTTGAATTCATAAAATAAAAAAACTTACCATTATATAATACAGAAAGTTCATTTTTTCCAAATAAAAATTAAATTACACAATAATTATTGTGTAGTAACTAGGATACGTATTCAGACAAACGTATATACCTTTGAAGATGAGGAGCTTTGTTCTGAAACTTGACACCTTAGAGGGAAGTTGGCCAGTAATTGAATTTGGTTTGGCTTATTACTCAAGGCTCATTCTCACCTGCCCAGTGAGAGAAATGCACAGATAGCCTTATGCCTTTTCAGAGAAAGTATAAGAAGCAACGAAGACTCAGGACACCAGTATTTTGCCTGCCAACAATCTCCCTCCTCCTTCCCTTTCCCAGCCCTGCCAGTGAGGTTCCACAGCCAGCAAGCGTGGATTAAGAGATCACTTGGTATTAATCCATCAGAATTGCAGGGCTGCAAATGTATGTTCAAACTCATGCAAAACTTGATAAACAGTTTTTAAAAAGACAGGATTTGCCCTTTCTACCTATCCTTCACCACATAACTGCTACACATGCCTCCCTTCTACACTGGAACTCAGTGCTTTTACACACTTGCCATCTCATAGCTCCTCCAGCCTTCAGCACTACCTGCTGGTCAGGAGGCCTTTTCATAGCTCTGACTCAGACCAGCGCTGTATCTCTTCACCTTCCTGCAAAAGCAGGTAAAAGCAACAAGGGGATCATGACAAAAGAGATTGCTTATTTCAAGGAAATGGATGTCTGATGCCATTGACACTTCCTCTTGCTGGGCTCAGCCCTATCTACACTATAGTCATTTACTACTATTTCTATTGCTGTTATTCCACCATGCTCCGGGGACACCCATCACTACTCCAGGGAAAAGACTACTCCAGCTCCACCCATTCTCAGGACTCAACCAGGTTACAGCCCCAAAATATATCCAATAGACCTGCCCTGGCTGGATGACACTGCAAGCCCTGTGCTGGTACATCTCATCCCCTCAGGATATTCAGAAAATCACAGATGTAGAAGGCCGGTGTTGCTGCATTCCTCTGCTATGCAACCATCAAATGCAAAAAAGATGCCTCAGGCAAGACAATTTCATTTGAATTCATATATATGACAGTAGAAATCAGCGCCAAAGATAACACAGACTTTATGCCCATTACAGACCACCACAGACTAATGGATTAATAAATGGAGCTCACTGATACTTTGTCAGCAATGGTGGTGACTTGTCATCTGGGGAGATTTCAGCATGCATACTGACAAGGTCGCAGATGCAAAAGGCCAAAAACTCATCTCCTCATTTGCCTGCCTAGGAATTTCACAGGTCAATTCTGGTCCAACCCACACAACTGGTCACAACTTGGACCTCATTTTCAGCCTAGATATTAAGATAGTGGACATCACAACCCAGCCACTGCCCTGGACAGACCATTACATCATTAGGGCAGCGGTCAGAGACCTTCCATCACTCAGGCAACAAGAAAGACCAATGACCCTGATTTGACCATACAGATTCATGGA